CAGCAGGCCAAGCGGCATCATAGGAGCAGAAAGGCTGACGTTTCGGGAAGGGTCTAGGCCCGAAACGTCAGCCTTTCTGCTCCTATGATGCCGCTTGGCCTGCTGTGTTCATCCAGCTCTGCACCTTGTTGTCTCTAATGTTCTGCACACCAAGGTTTGAATCTGCCATGGCAGATGATAGAATTTGAATTCAAAAATAATCTGGAAGTAAGTGTCTAATGAAACCATGAAACCATTACCAATTTTCAGGAAAAAAATCATCTGGTTTACTAATGTCCTTTAGGGAGGGAAACTGCCAATCTTATCTGGTCTGGCCTATGTGTGACTCCAGACCCACAGCAATGTAGTTGACTCTTAATTGTCTTCTGGACAATTAGGATGGGCAATAAATTCTGGCCCACCCAATGATGCCCACAACCTGTAGATGAATAAAAATAACACAGTTCAGATTCTGACACTGCATATAATTTAAAGGCTAGAATACAGGTTGCAGCTACATGTGATGACACATGGGATAAACGTGCACATGAGCCACAACAAGGAGAAAGGGTAGCACAGAGGATAGCTCCAGATCACTGGAGGACAGGGTCTTACCACTTATTTTTCTGTGAAAAAGTGGTCTGAGGACTTCAGTGGGCCAGGTCACTGAGGAATGCCAATGGGTGTACATAGATCAATGCTTGGTACTGTGTAGAACCAGCCTGACTGGGACATCTATGGTCAGTGGCCAGACAGCATGGAGGAAGCTGGCACCAGCTTGGCACAGAGTGTTGTACTGAAGTTAGAGCGTATCCTTTCCACCATGAATGGTGGAACCTCACATGATGCAGCACTCCAGCTTCCATGAAAAGTCTGCATGTGCAGCAAAAGCTCAGACTCCAGTCTCCTTTTTGAAACAACAAGGAGTGTGGAGGAATTGGCATTCCTTTCAATTAAACAAAAAGGCAGAGCTCACATGATATTGCAAGGCAATGTGCATGCAGTCTGTTGTCACTGTGTGCCATGAGGAAGTCTGCAACTTTTTGCAAACCTTTGTGCTTGCTCTGCCTGCTTGTCTCTGATAAGAGAATGAGATGTTTTTGTGTTTGGGGAACCTCATGCTGCAAGGAGCTCCCTATACTTCTAGTGACAATCAGAAAGAAACGAGGAGCATAAATGTTAAAAGTCAGGCTCGCCATGACAGCCACAATTAATACTGCCTTTGTCCTGCTTTAAGGTTGCAATTCAAGCTGCGACCAATTGGCAAATTTCAGTTACAACCTCTTTACTTCCCTCTTCACACCCTCGTTTCATGCATTGGCCCTCATGGAGTTGGAAGATCCTTAGTGGATCCTGTTGGGTGCCTACTCCTGCTGATTACCATTCCCCTACCCAACTGACCATCTTCACCCTCCCCCCCACAACCACCACCACCAATACCAACAACTTCCCCTAGACCTCTCCTATTTCGTTGGATCTCTCCTCACTCTCAATTTTTAGATGAAATTCTATCAGGCCACCCTGAAAGATACTGCAAGTTACTTGTCTCAGCACCTCCTTTTAGGTGATCAGGAAACTGCTTCGGTGGCAGCCAGTTACGTTCTGTGGAGTGTTCAAATCATAAATCAATAAGAAAAGCTTCAAAACGATGTTCAATGGCATGAGCAACCAGAAGAAATAATGCGGCAGCTAATCTATAATTCGGTTTGTGGTCAGTGATTGGTTCATGATCGATGTGTGGCACTAATGAAGGTCAGTTCCTTCATTCTGTTTATTGCCATGTTTACCCTGAGGGAGACAATGACAGTGTTGACTGGGGTGTGGGTTGGCAAATGGCTATGCTAGGATCAGTGAACATTGTGCTCTGGTTGATGACAGAATCTGTTAGCTCTGTCACCTGTTTGTGACAGTTAGGTGAATTCATGCAAACCCATTTACCGAGGTGGTAGCCTAAGCAGCTTCTAACAGAAACAGACATGCAGGTATCTTTGACCACATGGTAGCTGCGTAGCATCTAAAAGTGTTCTGTACTGCTCAATTTAAACACTATAATTTAACCAGTAATATTGGAGGTTGAAAACAAAAGTAAAATACTGTAGTTGCTGGAGATCAGAAATTAAGACAAAGTTCTGAAGAAACTCAACAGGTCTGGCAGCATCGATGAATAAGAAACAGAGTTAACATTTCAAGTCCAAAAGACTCTTCCTCAGAACCGAACAGTTCTAATTGCTTTTGTACTGAGAAATGTAACACTGAAGAGATTTGTTTTCTTCATATGTTGCATATATATGACTCCTTTTCTTTTTGTTCTTGTTTTCCTCACTCTCTTTTTACCCCTTTAGTTTCAGAAAGATCTTGGAGTGAGTTTACTATTTATTCATACCAGCCTGAAGCAATCTCACTTTCTAGAGTGGCTTCAAAGATTTATTATAGCTTTTATTGGATTGAAAGAAATGCTATGTGTGGTTCTGACATGCCTGCAGAATAAGCAATTTCCTGAATTTCTGGCATTTTACTGCTTTCGTGCAGCTTAGGTAAAATGTGATACACTAAACTTTCACAGAAAATTTGTTCCTTAATGGATCTTAGATTCAGTTTGAGGTTCCAAATTCATCCAAGTTGGTGATTACATCTCATTTAATGTTGGTAACTAAAGTTTTATATCCTTGGCTAATAACATATATTGGGAACTAGAAGTACCTTGTGAAACATTTCATGACTCAAATCAGCTGAAAATGGTAGCACATGAGTGGAAAGAAGTCATGGTGACTGACAAGCGTATGTATTTTTAATTAACTTCGTGAAGCACCGCAATGATGGATAATTTTGGAAGATGCTGCATTCTGATTTACCATTATTATTAATGTTGATCACTATGTTTAAAGCTGATAAAGACCATTTCAATGTGTCTGTGTAAAATATAATCCATGTAGTAGCATTAAGAAACAATCACAACAGCTAAAGTTTTTAAGTAGGTGCTTACCAACCAGCATGTAATCACAAAATCATTTCCAAGATTATCCTAATATTTATTTTCATCATTTCAGTTCCTGGTATCTTCTGTGGCTTATTGCTTTCAGTTGAAAATAGGAAACCAAACACTAAATGGCAAATAATTCCAGAAGCTGATATTTTTGATGCAGGAAAACAGAAATTGGGACATGAAAGGAAGTGGAAATGGTTATGAATTTCCCAAAAAGAGTTCCACATTCTGGAGAGCCTGAGGAGGTGAATGGAAAGTTTAGGTATAGGAGAATGTAAAGTGGAAAATTCCAAATGAGGAACTGGTTGGCCAGCAGTTTTAGTTAGAGTAGGATTGATTGACCAGTCACCAGTCAGCAATTAAGTACCTGAAAGGTGCTTGATCTTGTGGAGTGTTGGTTACCAGCAAAGGTGCTCACTCTAGTGAAAAAAAAATCATAAAATCCTAGCGGGTGTTCAAGTCTATGTAATAGGGTTTGAAACTTTACCTTCTGACGCTGAGGCTGGGCTTGCCGTCCTAGTTAATGCTGACTGTGCAAGGATGTGCAGGGGGTGCCTCAGAACAAAAATAAAAATTGCAAAGAAAATACATAAATGTCTCCTTCCCCTACCCCACTAATGAATGTAATTATTCTTTATGGGCCCCCTGCAGGTACTGTTAATTAGAACAGTGAACTCTTGAACCTCAGCCAAGAAGATTAAGATCCCTGGTGTATGTTGAATTAGCTGCTCTTGGGGTAGAGGTAAAAAAAAATCAGTCATCTTCAGTGGCATTCTGTCAAGCTAGGGTGATTTGGCTGTTTCATCTGTAAATCTTCTGTTGTGGAGGATGACTTATATTTCTTACTGTATTGCTAGAGTCTGCAGATTTTACATTTATTTTTACTCCTGTAATATTTGCTTTCTAAATAGTTCGACTTTGAAATAAATTCTTCAACATGAGTTTTTAGGTTATATTTAATCTGCTGCTATTTTCTGTTAGTTAATTGAAAGGTTTGTTGTCCTTGTCCATGGCTGATTAGGAAAGAGAGGGTTCTTGACTGTCATTTTAACTAAGTTAAAAAAGGAATACCCAGGAATCAGTCCAATTGAAGCTGAAGATCCTTCGAAGGTGGAAGGGGGTTCCTGTGCAGGTTATAGAGAAGAATCCTTGTTTGTGCTGTGTGCATCAGAATGTTAATTGTTTTCTCTGTTGATAACTAGCGCACCCAAAATAAACTCCTGCAGTACCTTCGATGAATGAGCACTTGCCACAGCAAAATTGTGCCTTTACAAACATGCAGTTACTTTATCAATTGTATGCTGATGTGCAATCCCACAATACTATCCCAATCCTGGTTTTTGCACCTCATCTTACTTGGCAGATTTTTTACAATAACAAAAGTCCATTACAGTGTGATGTAGAGACGTAACTGATCTTGCAGATGCAAGTGGATACTTTTAAAATGCCATATAGGAAGCTAACAGTGATCTGTTATTCCTTTTGAGATGATCCATAAATATTAAATTATTAGCTGAATTTCACTGTTACATTGTTGCCTACAGAGTTTCTAGAGTTATTTTTAGTGATGATCCAGTTGTCATAATTGTGATCTATCAATTTGCCTTGCTCTTTTTATGTAAGCTTTTGATCTTAGCACTGTTTATAGCGACATCTGTCTTAATAATTAACCTTTCTTAATTTCAATTAACAGGGGAAATATGTGGACCCAACCCATGTGAGAATGGAGGCATTTGCATGAGGGGGTTGGCAGATGAACCTTTTTCATGTGAGTGTCCCGATGGATTCACAGGTCCCAACTGTTCTAGTATTGTGGAGGTTGGTAAGTGCAAGCACAGACGATGACAAAAACCTCTTTCTTGCATGCCTATCGCTTCTTTGAGCTTTTCACAATGTTATGGACCAGACCAAACTCATTCAAAATATATTAAGAAAATAGCCTAGACTTATTTTTTTCTTATAAGTGCCTGGCGTTGCATTGCAGATGCAATTTGATTGGTCAAACTACCAGGCTTGAAGCAAAACACACTTTATTCATACAGAAGTTGCTGGAAATGCTCAGCAGGTCTGGCAGCATCTGTGAAGAAAAAATCAGA